TTAAAGTACCCAATAGAGCATCTTAAGACAAGAAAGGCTCATTTGGCTCACAGTTCAAAAGGTTACAGTTCATCATGGCAGAAAGACTAACCTGAACTGCTTAGTCCACAGTAGCAGGACCTTGTTGCACTGCTTGTTCACACATGGTGGGTCAGGCAGCAGAGAGCATGGAGCAAGAAGCAGAAGTGGATACCATCTTCAAGGCTGCTTCCCAATGACCTACTTCTGCTACCTGGCCTCCAGCCCTTAGACTCCCCAGACTTTATAAGACATCAAAAATAGTTTTATGGTACCAAGTATTCAAACACATGAGCCAGTGGGAAACATTAAGCATTCAAACCATAACACATGAGATAATGTTTTCCCACCAAATTGGTTAGAAAAAGTTTTCAAGAATATGCAATATTTGAGAGCATATGTGAATAGATTATCTTATACCTCAGATGGATATAGAGTGCTTCTAAAGAATTAAGCAGAACCTTACAGTGAATATTAAGATATTAAGAAGTGCATTTTAGTCAAGCAATTTCATTTCTTCTGGGTCTGTTCTAAGATGCTAGAATATGTTCAGTGTTATGAGAATTTTACATAGTTACACATTTCACAAAATGAAGACTTTGGTGACATTTCCAGCCACAGAGAAGCTTAGTAAATAATGGAATGACATTGAAATTATTAAAATAATTTGGAAAACTCCTAAACAACATGGAAACATATCTGTGACACACTAAACTAATAAAATAGCTATAAAGCATAGATCACAGAATCATATCCTTATTAATGAAAGCATGCACACAGACCCCAAAGTGACCAAAATGATTATTGCTACATGAAAGTGGGATAATTAATGGTTTTCATTTTACTTAATTTGCATTTTAGTATTATCTAACACTTCTATTGAATTCTGGGTTTCCTTCAACAATAGAAAATAAAATATGGCTTGTACATATTTAATAAACTAAAACCAAGAAGTTATTTGTAACTGTTCAATTTATTTTTTAATAAATATTTATCATGTGTCTATTGTGTGTCAAGTACCTTCTTAGGGACTGGGAATAAAATGAAATATGAGACAAAATCTTTGCCTTACAGTTTACTGTTTGGTAGGGGATATAGATATTACACAAGTACATCAGTGAAATTTCAAGGTATTAGAGATAATGAGATCTACTATGGAGGAAATGATCAGGTAGAGTTTGAGCTGAGTCCTGGAGGAAGAGAAGGAGCCCACATGTGAAGGGAAATAGGGAGAGTGCATCTGGCAGAAGACAGGTGGGAAATCCAGGATCTGCAAAGAACTTGGGAGAGGAAAAAGGAATTAGTCAGGTGGCCAAGGTGACAGATTGAGTGGTGGTTTCAGAGGATGTCAAGAAGTTGGTCAGGACAGAAAAAGCAAAGACCTGCAAGTGTTAGTAAACACTCTGGTTTTTCTTCCAAGTTAAAAGCAACAATAATAATCAAAAATAAACTGTGATGTTTCTGATGCAACGAAGTGATATTTTCTGCCTGTTGCTGAGGACTCAGATGCCTAAAGCACAAAAGATGCATAAAAAGAAAAGAAAAGACGAAACAAGCTGGAGAAGTGGTCAAAGAATTAGAGGAAGTATAAATTAGTTAGAAACAAAGAACAGTGTACTAGCTAGTAAACAAAACAGTCAATTCAAATGCATTTTCATTTCTTAGAGTAGCAAAGCTCAAGAAAGACACTGGGTATGGTGTGAGGCTACTCTGAGACAGTCAGCTGCAAAGTGTGGGCTGTGCATTGATAACTTCGTGAAAAAGCAATAGTAGAAGCCGAAAGTGTTTCAAAATGGTCTGTCTCATTACTTCTTGTATTGTAGCTGTCCGTCCCATCATTCCTTGTCTTCTGAAAGTGTTTTGCTACTGATGGAGATGAGCTGTAAGGTGCTGACCTTAAAGCTGGATAGAATAAGTCTTTAAGCCAGTGGTTCTCCTTCATAAAAAGACATGCAATTTATTCTTTTCTTTGTACCAGCTGTATTTCTCGAAAATTCAAATAAAAGATATTAGCTTTACAGTCAGAAAAACAGCTATTGAAAAAGTAGTTGGAGATGAGTCCAAAACAAGTTCATTATAATACAAGATGATAACATTGGGAGAAAATGTTAAAATAGTTTTTGAATTATGTACATTGACTTCCCAACCTTTTTTTTTCTTTTTATAACTCTTAAATCTTAAGATTTTAGGGACATGAGTTAAGAGCACTTACTATTCTTTCAGTGAACCCAAGTTTGGTTCCCATCACCAACATCAGGTAGTTCACAACCACATATTAACTCAAACTTCAGGGGATCTGATACCCTCCTCTGATCTCCTCCATGCAGGTACCTATATACATGTGGCGTAACCCTCCTACAGATATTGAAGCATATGCATTAAAAAAAAAATTGGGAAAACCAGCTACTATGGACTTGGTTCTGCCTTCCAAAAAATGAGGACAACATATACTTCAGAGTACTTTTGTGAGGCTTAAAGAACATTTTGAAAATCACTTTACATGGTGTTAAGATTATGATATTATTATGTTATAGTACTATAACTACAGTACAATCAAAATATCAACATTTCCTTATACTAAATGTTAATAACTCTGCTTTTCATTTTACAATCTTGTCTCTCCCATCACGTGATATTCATAGAATAGCAAATGCATAAACCCGCTGTGATTCTAGTCTTGTAAATGAGACAATTTAGCTATGGAAAATATATTTGTCCAAAGTCTTACCCTAGCAGGTAGGTGCTCAATTTTCTGTGATTCCATAACCCTAATGCTAAGTACACATGTTTGGACATTTTAGTGTTCTCCATCCTTCCCTTTGTTGTTCCAGTTTATTAAAAACAAAACCTCTTATCTGTGCATCATTCATATGCTAGAATGATGATGGAGTTGTCTACACCAAGAATGTAGACGGGCTTCTTGAGGGGACTCCTTTGAACAGATGTTCAAGAAGGCTAACACAGGAAGTTGAAGAAGAACAAAAACAGTAAATAAAAAGCACAATCTAGGCTGAGCATCTTAGTTTGATAAGAGTTTAAAAATAATTTTTGTCAAAGATACAAAGAGCAGATATGGGGCAGGCCTTGGCTAGCCTGGGGCCTGTACATGTTTTAATGGAGCTTCCAAGAACATTTTACACTGGAGAACAAATTCACTATCTACTTAAGGAAGATGATTCTGCCAACTGTAGAAAGAGCTAAAAGCATCAAGACCACAGCAGGACACAATCCAGCAATGAGTACCACAAGCATTAAGAAAGAGGCAGTGAGAGGACATGGCTGACAGAACGCAGGAAGAAAGGAGCTGAGGGCTTTGGGAGAGTTCTGAGAACTGGTCAAATGTCTATCCAGGTCACAATACCAGGAGCAAGTCATAGTCTCTAGTGAATAATTTATAATGTCCAATTTCACCAACTATAAGCAGAAGTTCAAGAAATCAAGACAATAGGGAAGAATTCCTAACCTAAAGGTTCACAGAGCTGTGCACCCTGATGGCAGGAAGGAGCATATCATAACTCAATTCAGATCAAACCTCAATAATTAACTCTTGCCGGCCTGTTGGAAATCTTTCAACTTGAACTACAACAATGACTTCAAGAAATCCTGGATCTCAATAGCCAGGATTTATTCTTATCTGCCAAATAAAGTATTTTGTTGTAATGTTCAACTTTCTGGGAACTCAAGATAAACTTAGCACTTAAAATCACTACACTGCATAATGGTAACAGGGGGTTATCAATTCTCTTTTATATCTTCGTGCTAACTTATTAAACTATGAATGATATATTTTAAATATTGGTTCCAGTAGGAAGTGTGGAAAAGAATCCTTGCTCTGTCTATAGGTCAGGGAACTCTTAGGATGATGGCCCAGCAGCTCTGACATTACTCTTTCAAAGAGAAGGAAGACGTGGCACTCCCTGACATCTGCTGCACTGTGTAAGAATTTCTTCTTTTGCTTGGCTGTTCTGTCAAAATGCAGATCTTAAACCATGAAAATATTAAAACATCAACAGTAATTTCTTTTAAGAACTTTCTTAGATGTATTTGTGCCTGGTAGCTACAGAAGTCTAAAGAGGATTCAGATAATTTAAGTTCTGGGTGGTTGTGAACCACCATGTTAGTGATGGAGTCCATCAACAAGATCTATAAATGGTCTTAACCATTGAGCCATCTCTCCAGCCCCAGTAGTAATTCTATGGACTATTATGATTTCTCTAACTTTGTAATTTTCAAAAGAAAAAAAAAAACCTTAAATTGAAAGAAATCTGTGTTCCCTTCCCTGGTAATGCAGTTCTAACACATAAAGTGAAGCGACCAGGGACATTATTGCTGATGGACCTGCAACATCTTTCTTCAAGAGTAACCCAGATTAATTGACAGCAATGGGAAATCAGTAGCAAAGGCTTCAGATAACCCAATATTTTTTCTTAAAAGACTAAACCCATTTAAAAATCAGAGCGCATTAGTAAGTTTAAATTTTCAAATACAAAATCAACTGGAGAATTGACAAAATGCACTTTCATGCACAGTGCATTTTGATCCCAATTTAGTAGATATGTGTTCTTCTAGATCAGGGGTTCTTAACTTTCCAAAGGTTTCAACCCTTTAATAGAGTTCCTCATGTTATGGTGACCCCCAACCATAAAATGTTGCTGCTACTTCATTTGCTACTGTTCTGAATTGTAATGTAAATATCCGTGTTTTCTGATGGTCTCGGGAAACCCCTGTGAAAGGGTCATTTGACTCCCCCAAAGGGGTTGCGACCCATAGGTTGAGAACCACAGTTCTCGACAGATAGATGATAGAGGGCAGAAGAAAAGATGAATGGATAGATGGACAGACTAAAAGAAAGACTCACAAAAACAAACACATTTGATTTACTTGGCTCGCATAAAACCAATGATTAAAGTGGGAATGGTCAGATTGTGAAAAATTTCAGGCAAATATGAAAGTCACTGAATATTTCATGTACCATAAGACTGGTTAGGAAGGCCATTTTTATACCTTCAGATTTTTGACAAAATGGGCTTTCACCAGAATATTAGAAATGCAAAGCCACACTAAGCAGTATTTAAAGACATATCCATACTCATATACTACATAACACTGTCCCTCCCTTCCCTGAGCTCTTTTTAAACCTCAGTACTATTAGTAGCTTCTCTCATGTCTTCCACCAGGGATTCCTGTGTGGGATTTTCAGCACTTTTTCCACATATCAAATGTTCCCCACCTAGGTTTTGAGATGCAGGTTGCTGGACCAGCAGGCCAGATGTGTTTATGACCATGTTGCTTTTAGCTCTTAGGACATAGGCTTCCTGGGGTTTGGTTTTCTTTTGGCAGATCTGGAATGCGTCTTGGAAACCACTGCGAAAATTTTCATTAAAGAAACCATAAATGATGGGGTTGACACTGCTGTTGCAAAAGGCAAGCCAGTGGGCGAAGGGGTAGATGTAGATGTTGATGACACGCAGTTTGTTAGGAGACAGGTCAGCATAGTCTGAGAGCATCATCAGAGTCCATAGGGGCAGCCAGGAAAGCATAAAAAGGAGGGCCACAGTCAACAGCATCTTGATGACCTTCTGTTTCTTCTTGGATACATGCCACTGCTCCTGGCGCTGCTTTCCGGAGCAATTTGCTGAAGTCTTGAAGAGGGAAGTCCCAATCCGTGCATACATGACAACAATGAGGGACAGCGGAGCCAGGTAGATGGTGGCAAACAGCACAGTCGTGTAGATCCTCCTCATTTCCTGGTTCGGCCAGTCCTCCCGACACCAGTAGACTGTGCTGGTTTTATTGTGGGAGCCCAGTCTCACACGGTAGTATTTTTCTTCTTGTACGTGTAACATTATTGCAGATGGAGACATAATGGCGATGGCCAGGCCCCAGATGATCACAATAGTGACAAATGCTGTCTTGATAGTGAGCTTTGGCTTAAAGGGGTAGACCACACACCGGAATCTGCAATGAGAGGCAAAGATCAATGAAGCACTGCCTCAACTTCCAAACCTGATGCAAACATCCACCTATATTTCCCTCAAAAACACCCCAGGTTAGCACCTGGGGTAATGCAGCATGCATTGCCAATTTATATAACTGACAGAAGATATGTTTTAATTCAAAGTAAATGAATGAAGCAGATCAGATGCTATTAATGAGAAAATGCTATTATGGTGCTAATGGTATTACATCAGAATATACCAAATACGGTCCCTTAGAACTCTGCTGTAGAGTTAGTCCCATGGGCTTACATCAGCTGTTCCTTTAAGCATGATGAATTAAAGTATGAAGATTAGGATTTAGGAAAGGTCACAATCTTGCTTATTGTTATTCATGATTTCAATCCAAGCAGTTGCACTCCAGAACGGTAGGTTCAGTAGACAGCCAGTTCCACTGTGCTGCAGGAGACGCTCAGCAGCAGCAATCATAATCCATTTTCCCCCAGGTTCTTAATGTTCCTAATATATCGTTCATGTGGTTGGCCATGGAATGTGTTCTGGCTACTAGACATGAACCGGCATGCACATCAAGGCTGTCCTTTTGGATGCTTTTTCTGAAAATGCAGCTTCCAGGTTCCAAGAAACTTGAATTAGATGAGAAGCACATGGGGAAAGGCCCTGGGGAACATCAGCCTGGCCATCTTAGACATATCAGCCTCAATTTAATTCACAGGGTAACACTGCAGCATGAACGGTCTAGGGAGCAGAAGACTGAGAGAGCTGCTCACTCAACCCACAGACTCACAAGAGGAAGAAATTACCGTTTCTCATACAAAGGTGCTTTTAGCTATTTTACAATTATACAGGTCTATGAAGCACCATTATAAGTTCTGATAAAGACCCTTCTATATCCTCTCTTGAGCATGGCAGTTCAAAATCTGTTGAGGAACTTTATCACTTTTGTTATTGTGACTTTTATTATTGTTGGATATGTATTGCAAATAATTGTGTATGTGCTATTATGCAATTTTATGATTTTAGGCATGATCACCTACTTAATACATTTTTTGTTTTTGTGATTAATCTAAAGCAGATTTTATTGCTCAGAAGACAGTTGTACAGATAAAGAAAGGAATGTTTGACTAGAAACTCCAAATTAACTTCTGTGATGCACCTTCAGAAAAGCACTAATGAATGAATTGATGAAACCATATTGCTTAAGACACCACATACCTTGAATGCAAAATACAGAGAAATCAAGCTGTAACTGAGTTAAAAGATTTCTCCCTTCTGGCTAGCTTACATAGTGCCAGACGGTGTTTTGCAGGCTGCTGGGGGCGGGGGGGGGTGCAGTAAAGACATAAAAGTTCTTACTCAGCTGGGAACTTTATGAACCAATCTGCCAGGCAAGATGTGTTCATTGGTGAAACTGTGCCACAACTGTTATGGGGGAAACCAGTTCCTCTCTGGGGCTGACTCTGAGGTCTGCTCCACAAGAGGAAACCCATGCCTACTGCTGTAAACCAAGTCAAAAACCCTGATTAAAGAGGTCACAGGCCCAAGGAAGGAACCTATTACTGATCCTTAGCTGAAGTGAAACAGCTTCAAACTTCCTTCTGAATATCTTTGTTTATACCCACCGACAAAGGCTATGCTCAGCCATAACCCGAGAATCCCCTCTTCAATGGATGTTGATGAAAGCAGAGAGCCATAAGATGCTGAGAATAATGGATGGTTGAAGACTCAGACCTAAACAAGACTGTAGCATGAATCTTAAATGGTCTTATTAATAAAAGCAAACCCAGAGCCAGGTATTGGGGTGAATGCTAGAAGATCAGAGAAGCAGAACAGGCCACAGCCACCTCACCTTGCCAGTTCCTCAGCTGATCCCGTTTCCTCAGACTGGATGCCTTTTAGCTGAATTGTGCTGCTCAAAAGCCTAAAAGCTTAACCAGCATCTAGTTCCTCATTCTCATGCCTTAAATACCTTTCTGCTTCCTGCCATCACTTCCTGGGATTAGAGGCTTGTGTCACCACACCTAGCTGTTTCTAGTGTGGCCTTGAATTCACAGAGATCCATGTGGATTTCTGCCTCTGGAATGCTAGGATCAAAGGCGTGTGTGCCACTCCACTATTTTCTGGCCTCTATATCTAGTGGCTGTTCTGTTCTCTGACCCCAGATAAGTTTATTACGGTGCACAATATTTTGGGGAACACAATACCACCACACAAGACATTTGTTCCATCCCCCTTAAGACTCAGTGAAAGTGAAGAATAGGAAGAATATAAGACAGAAAACAGGGAGAAGAGCCGTGAAATGCCATCTTCAAAGCATGATAAGGCCACAGCAATCATCAGCTCACAGTTGCTGTGCCTACTGGGTCTGTACAAGTGCAGCCCATCCACAACAGTGAATGGTGACAGGGCTCATGAGGCCATTATCAGTTACTGCTGAACTATTAGCTCCTAACAGATTCTGGGTGATGGGCAAGTCAGTATCTACTTATATAGCCTCTAGTGAACTCACACGGCTCTGATAGATAGTCCCAAAGCCATGGTCACATAAACAGCTTCATTAAACTCTGTGTGACACAGAACAAAATAGCAAGTCATAAGTATTGGAAAGAGATGGGTAGGAAAGAAGGGATTGTGGTAGTAGTGGGAGCAGAGATAAGAGAGGCTGTGGGACAGAGTCATCAGAATGAACCATATACATGTAGGAAATTGCCAAAGATTATAATTCATTAATAAAATAAGAATGATAATTTAATATTATATGTATTACTGGTACAATCTCTGAATAATTAAAAATGAAATAAATGAAACTAAAGTGATAACTATGAAGAAAAACTCAAATGTATGAAGCCTTAATTAGTGTTTCTATTGCCATGATAAAGATGATGACCAACACAGGGTGTGGTGGCACATGCCTTTAATCCCAGCACTCAAAGTGATGGTGGATCTATGAGTTTGAGACCAGCCTGGCCTACACAATGAATTCCAGTCCAGCCAAGGATACCTATTGAAACTCTGTTTCAAAAGACAAAACACAGCAAACAAAAATTTCACAAGCAAAATCAATTTGGGAGGAAAGGGTTTATTTCAGCATATAATTCTCAACTCACACTTTACTTAAGGAACTCAAGACAAGAACCCTGGAGGCAGAGGCCAAGGAAGAGTGCTACTTACTGGCTTGCTCAATTTGTTTTCTTATTCATCCCAGGACCACCTACTCAGGGAAAGTACTACCCACAATGACCTGGGCCCTCCCACATCAATTATTAATCAAGAAAATGCCCCCACAGACTTGCCTACATGCTGATCTTATGGAGGCATTTTTATTTTCAGTTGAGATTTTTTTCCTCTCAGATGACTCTATCTTGTGTAAAGTTGACTAAACACTAGACAGAACATGTCTAACACACAAACTAAAATTCAACAACCTGATGCAGATCAAGGCATTCATGCCACACAAAGAATAAAACGACTTTACGTTTATTTATTGATTAACCTCATTAAATTTTCAAACATGAAAACTAGAAGAAAAGGCATGATGTCCTTTGTTGTTGCTCTCTAGACCTGACAAATGTCCTTCTCATCTCTACACCATGCTGTCTTAAATACAACATTTCAGATGCAGCTGCGTTCCTCTTGGCAGCCAGCCACACGCGTTCATTTGCCTCTTTGCAGAGACATTCAGAAGTCACTAGCCATATCTCCTGTATATGCAATGCTGCATTTTCAGCATTTGCCTGCATCTGGAATGTTTAAGATTTCACATTGTGACACCATATCGTGTGTGTCATTATGCAATCTCTCTGGCAGTTTATATTTTTTAAATGTATATATGTTGAATTATGCTGCCCTGCTTCATCATTTGAAATCTCTCTAACATTACTCACTGAAAAAAAGCATTGTTTGTTTATTTTAATATCATTTACTTTCTAAACTATATAAGATCAATGTTTATTTTTAACTTTTTTTCAAGTGTCCTATCAGAAACATTGCTCAAAGCATGTAAGGACACCTAAGTACCAAATGTGAAGTAAAAACAAACATTTTAAGCTTAAGATCGAAATAGAAATACAAATGATAGTATAGCTTTTGTTCACTGTAATGAACCCCAATTACTATATAATGTTCACTTGCAGGACATCCTTGCATTTAATGTGTTTCTTTAAAGTGTGATGTATATTTTGAGTGAGCACACACACAAAAACCATGTATCTTTTACCCAAAAGTGATGTGGTTTATCACTTCAAACACTGAGGGTCCAATTGGCCTTGTTATGTGGTTATTGCAAAGAAGAATAATGTCTCAATGATTCTAAAATTAAATATCTCAGTTCATATTCCCAAGCTGTAACTGCATGGGAAATACTAACACTTTAAGATCTGAGTAAATACATGTAATTACATGCTAAGTAATCTGTTATAAATCTTCAGTGAAGCAACAATTTTGTGGTAGTACTCTGTATTATAGTAATATAAACAGGTAGATAGTTATATCAGTATATTACGTATTATATATACATACACATACATGTATGAATATCAGTATATTCAGTATCATTTAATAGCAGTGACAAGCTGTAGTAACTTGGTAAATCAACACTTTCTGAAACTCAGGATTTGGAGCTGACTTACCTGTCCACGGCTATGGCAACCAAGGTAAAGACTGAAGCGGAGACTGATATTCCCTGCACCAGCCCACTGATCTTGCACATGCTGCTTCCAAATGGCCATCCTGGGTGGGAAATGGAACAGTCTTTTGAGAAGATTATTTTGCCACACTCTACTGCAAATAAGAACAGAGTGTCAAGAAATGAAGGCAGCCCTGGGACGTCTCCTGGTGCTTTTGGTAATTTCTCCAGACAGAGTGTTTCATCAGCACAGTATTCACAAGGCAAAACTAACCCAGTAACAATTACATCCGAGACACTCTAGGAAGTACTTCACACCTGCCTCTGCTTAATCCCCTGGGGAGGATTTGAATCTGTTTTATAACTCATAATATCTCCAGATAAGGTAAAAATCAAATATACACCTTGCCCCAGCCAGTTATTAGCATCATAAGATTTAAACTCAGCTATGTTTCCAGAGTGGAAACCAGCAAACCTTAGGTTACAATGCTCTAAGCAAATACAGCAGCCAGAGAAATAATTTTCTAATTTGGAAATACACTCTATAACTTGTGAGGAACTGAGAATTACATAGGAAGCAAATATGTACAGTATGCAATTTACACAATAGTGATGTCTAGAATAAAGACTCCTATATATAAATGGAAATAACAGAGTTTCTTACCTAAACTTTGGTGACGAGAGAAATAAGCAAAACTATTTGAGCAGTTTGACCTACTAAAAACTCATTTGCTGTTAAAAAAAAAATAGCATCTCCTATGAACAAACACTCTAGACATGTTTTTTGGATTTAAATTTTATTGTTAAAAAATCCTGTAGTTTCTTTTCTAAAAAACAAACTACTCATATATAATTTCTATTAGTCTAAATACCGTAAGCGAGTCTATTTTTAACAGGCATCCCTACTTAGATTTGCCTTTCACTTTGCTTTTTGAAGCAGGGGTTTGCTATGTTGTTTAGATCGATTTCAAACTTGCAATTTCTCCATTTGAGCCTCCCAAGCAGTTTAGATCATAAAATATATTCCCTGGTGAGTCTATTAAACACATAAGACCTCACACTATAAAACAAACCAAAAATGGTTCTTCGTGCTAGAAAGCCTGAAACCTCAAATAAAGGAATAGAAAAAAGGATTGTGTAATAGAAAATTCACACAAAAACAGAATAAACAAGTTACCAGTAATGTCTGAAATATAGAATAATTGTAAAGAAACATACAGAAAATTAACAAAAATAGGCCAAGTAATTTAAAACAATGAAAATGAAGAACTCAAGATGAAAGTTGAGGAAATCCTTCTCTGCCCCACAGTGTTGGGGATTGAGCCCAGGACCCTGTATAGGCGAGGTAATCATTCTGACCATGAACTACATATTTAGCCCTTGGATTTTAAAAAATATTTATTGTAATTTTAAAATTATGTGTATGTATGTGTCTGTGTATAAGTATATACAGGCAAGTTCAGGTGCCCACAGAGGCCAGGAGAGAGCATCAAATTCCCTAAAAGTTAAAGTTATAGGCACTTTTGAGTCAACCAACATGGGTGCTGGGGACTGAATCTAGGTCTTAAGCATCACACAATCTTAAGCATCACACAATCTGTCTAGTCCCAAACTCATGGATTTTAAAGACAGTGTCTTTATGTTAACCAAGGTGAACTTTAATTAGCAATCCTCCTGCCTGGATCTCCAAAGTGATGATATTATATTATAGGTATATACCTCCATGACTTTAGCACGCACACACACACACACACACACACACACACACACACACACACACACACACATTTTTGAAGAATAGAATAATAAGAAGCATAAATTGAATGAGAAACAATGAAAAGGGACATCCTGTCCTCCTGTATGTGATTAACACAGGCAAAGGAAGGGAAAAAACTTGGTCGAGAAAATTTTCCAGGATGAAGCAAATTGGTTTTCAGAAAACCAACTTCCAGCCCTAATTTCATAAAATTCAGAACACTAGGATGAAAATAACTCAAAAAGTTTTTAGGAAGAAAAAATACACAACTCAAATAAAAGACAGCAAGTATCAAAAATGTTCAAGAGTAACTCAACATTTCTCAGAAGCAACAAGAAAATGATCCCTTTAAAATTCTGAGAGGAAAATTTTCCAAGCCAGAATTGTTCACATAGCTAACTGTAATCAATTGTGAGAGTGAAAGAAATCATTCAGAGACACATAAATTCTCAGAAATGTTCCATCACGATGTGCTATTTCTTGGGAAGGAATAAAGTAGAAAGAAGATGTGGTATCAGAAAACAGGGCCAAATACAAAGAGAAGTGGAGAAGATTGCGAGGGCATCAGTGGGAGAGAGCTAACAAGTCACTGAGCAATTCCCATCACAGCCAGTGGAAGAGGTGAAGGGTGTGATGCGTGCTTGTGTTTATGTGGTATAAGGGGATTATGGAAATGGAATTTCTGTCTTATGCAGTTTAGAAAACAGAAAATGGCATGAGCTGCATGTTACTTAGATATATGGTCATAATTACCAAAGTAAAGACATGAAATGCTGTAAGTGGGTGCCTATTGGAAAACAAAAGCAAGGGTACAGTAACATGACTTATGTGCAAAATATTAATCTTCTAATTCAAAATAATGATGTCAGGAAACTGAATGTCATGAGAGGACAGGAGCTTTGAAATAGCTGGTGCTGCTGCGGAGATCTTCAATATGCTGCAATTATTTCATTGTTTTTCTTATTTTGGTAGGAACGTGAACATCTCAAGTCTTATTCCTCAACTAGTACAATATTAAACCAACACTCTGAATGAAAACCCTACTTGGATGAGGGAATACACTGTCCCTGCACCTCTAGACCATGTAAGATGGTATAAAAAAATAATGACATGGACCCAGAAGTATGGGAAGGAAGTTCTTGTTCCCAAACCATACATCTATTTGATCATTACATGTTTTGTTTAGAATGTGAACAAGATCTTCATCTTGTGAAGATATCATCACCTGGAACACTTCAGGGCACTCAATAAGTATGTATAAATGAATGAGTGAATGAATGAATGAATGAATGAATGAATGAATGAATGAATGAATGAATGACTATGCTCTGACTCTGAGCATATGTGGAAACATTTTCTGAGGGCATCTTTATACTTCACACAACTCAACATACCTGCTATGATGTTGTCCAGCAATGTGATAGGCATGCAGAATATTCCAACCAGCAAATCACTTATTGCCAGGTTTAAGATGAAGAAATTAGTCACAGTGTGCATGTGTTTGTTCCTTATTACAATAAAGCAAACTACAGTATTTCCCACCATGCACAGGAAAAAGATCAGGAAGTAGGAACTAATGAAGATCGCTGCCACTTGAGGCTGGTGAAGATAATAGTTCACATAGGTGATGTTGATATCAGAGTACCAGGGATGCTGTGTGTCATTGCTACTCCAGGTGTGATTCCAGTTTTCTGAAGAGTTTGAGTCCCATTTCCTGCTCATAGTGGACCTTAACAAAGGAGAGGTAGAGAAGAGAAGATTAATGAGAGAGAATTAATTCTACATTGGTAGAATGTAACTTCTATGTAACTTACTGGGTATTTTTTCAACATTGTTGAATTTAAATGAGCTCTCAGTTATCCACCAGTTTCACATGAAAGTGAATTATAAATGAAGCATTCATCATATTAGGATTTCAACTAGAAGCATTTGAAATTATCCCTTTGTGCCATTCACAACAATCAGTACAATTGATTCCCTTATGTTCTTGTAAGACGGGGTGTATCAGCAGAGCCTCCAGCCTGTCTAATAATCTGGCAAGGGATTATTTCTATGGGTGTTTGGAAGATACAGACCCACCTCTGTATTCAGATTATCAGACAAATTTTTCAAATTGTACTCTTATATTCACCTTTTAAGAATGGTGTTAGAAAATTTAAATTGGTAGATATCAATTTAAGTGGACCAACCACTGATTTGGCAAGACTACACTTTGAAACACTTTGGGGCAATTAGTGACTTCACAATCTCTCCTGGACCTTTGCCAAGTATACTTTTATCACTGTAGAGAGTCATGTTCGTCCTGCAAATATCACAGTAAGTACTGAACTATGTACTACATATCTGATACTTGATTTTGGATACTATTCCCCTTGAATAGTTGTTATCTAAGCAACCCTCTACTGAACTTTGAAACTACTAATTTGAGAGTCGCATATCTGGTGAAGTCGTTATTCATCTCTTCACTGAGCTTTGTTGTAGATGACACTTCTGCTGCAGGCCTCAGGAATATATCATAAGAACTTAGCTGGTTATGGCAAAGTCACCTGGAGGAATCAGGGAATTCCTCCAGAGGAAGCCAAATTCCAAGGAGCTCTTGGTGTTACTTGGCTTGTTATATATCAGCTGTCTTCTGTTATGAAAATCATGTGTGCCTTCATAGTTTTCCCAATGGACTTTTCCCTAAGAAGGGCTAACAGTGTGAACTGATCACTCTCTGGACATACACATTCCAGGTATTTGGAGAACTGCCTCAGGAAAGGCTTTCTCTGGAATCAGATATCTCCCTTGGCCACTTTCAAGGACTAGCAGTAATAACAGTCCACATGCAAGTCTCCTGATTTAAGACAAATTCCACAAAGAGACATCGCCTAGGTCAGGTGGATGTTCAGTAATAGCTTTACACAATTTAGCTCAGACCCTCCTTTCTTACAGTCTTACTAACTTTATAGACCTCTAACTCCTTATCTAACCACTTCTAGGAATATTTGAATAACCTTCTGCACTGACAGTTATGCTCAGCCAGAACCCCAGTTCAAGCCTCCCTATAATTATCATCATTGGCAGCATCCGGCCAGGTCCATCCCCTGATGGAGGAAAGTACTTTATCAGAGATACCTCTGTACTCTCTAAGAACAGACTTAAGCATCCGACTACCTGTTTGAGAAGGTCTGGAGGATGTGCCAATTAAGCTTTACTTCCTCCTTTCCCAAATCTTACCTCTAGTTCCAGATCTCCCATTAACTATCACCAGAGGCATCTAGCTGTACACAGGTTGCCTAGCGACTGAGCACACTTTCCCCCTACCCTGTGGGAAAAAAATGGCAGATAGCTTGGACAGATATGAGTCACAGGAAAAAAAGAAGACAGTTTTATTTTCTCCCATTGACCTAGCAACTTATAGATTCTTAACATTTTCTACCAATCACGTTTAAGATTATAGTTGAGCATATAAGAGCCCTCTTCTTAGATATTACCTGAATTTAGCCTTTAGTTAATTCATTTCCCCATTGGTCACTTCCCTTTGGGGTTGCAAATGATAATTAACGGTTATTGCCTCCCTATGTGATTCTTATCACCCCTCCATTTGACCCTGGAAGCCTGGCTTTGCACTGCTAAGGGAATACTGCTTGTAAGTGTATATATACCAGGACTTCCAGGGCATGTGGAGGACAGAGAAGAGAAGAGAATGGAAGAACTAGATGGGTAAGAACTTGAGAGGAACAAACTGAGATGGGGAAGAAGTAGATTGAAGGGCTAGAAGAGACTACTAGAGAAATGAGATGGAAGATAAGGAAAAGCCAGATGGGGAAGAACAAGATGAGGAAGAACGAGATGAGGAGAGAGAAGGAGATGGGAGAGAAGATGATATGGGAAAGAACAAGATGAATAAGAATCTAGGAGGGGCAGAACTAGATGAAGGAATTAAGATAGAACCTAGGGGGGACCGCAGACAAGTGTAGAGAGAAACCAGGCTAGAAATGAGCTAAATATGAGAGCAGAATATAAGCTTGTAACTGACACAGAATAATAAAGTATATGGACTAAGGAGTTTCGTGTACATAGATTCATTTCTTCTCATCAAAGATTAATCATCAGCTGGTTGTAGATTCTTCCCAGACCCTGGGAGGGGACTATCGAGGGGCTGAACCCCCATAGTCCCCAATACACTTCTGCATGAAGTCACTGAATGAGCAAGATACTGTTGTTCTATTTCCTGGCTGAACCAGAGAGACAAAGTTTTATGGCTTTCCTCTGGGAAAGGATCCCTTTGTAAATTAAGCATTGAATGCACAATGAACTCCTCTTAGGAAAAGGATTGAAATACATGAGCAGTAACAGTTTTTACACAGTCATTTTTCTTTTAGATTTACAGAATCCTACTGTCTTGGAAGCCACAGGACAGAAAACTTAAAATCTGTACATTGCACTGATGCCCACCTATTTGGTGTGCTTCCCCACTGTTCTGGATGTAGACCTCATGCCTGCAACCCAAAGATAACATGGAATCTGCTGATGAGTCTTTATCATCTTCAGTTTCCAAAACAAATCTTCTTTGCCCAACAACTTGCCTTTTGCATCACTGTTCTTAAGTGATGAGAAATGAATTTTGTTTCATGGTTACATTTTTTTAAGTATAGAAAACAGTAACTAGATATTAAGTCATTAAAATAGATGAGGGGGATTAATTTTAATACCATGTATTATGTTACCCTTTCATTTCCTTTTTTTCCTCTGATTATTTTAGGTTATCCTTGGGTTTCTCCTATATTTTATAGCTGTACTCACCTCCCCCAAAAAGCAAAAATCAGAAACCCTTTTTGAGGTTTCAGAATGTATTCTACACTCAGATTCCACACCTTTTTTTCCACTGAGGACAGCGTTGTGAGTAAGCTATGTAGATTTGGATAAAGAACTCAAACCCATGTCCTTTAGCTATCTCATCTAAAAGGTAATGTTAGCACATGTGCATGCTTCATAGTGTTGAAGGCTTTCATAAAATAATTATTGCTAAAATGCATTTTGTTTATACTAGAGGTCAAACTTAGCAATAAGTATCTTTATTATGTACTTTTTACAGCAACACAAACAGGTAACGAAGGCAATAGCCAAATTAATTTGTAGTGGGTAGCCATTCCAGCTTGGATCTGGAAGTTCCAACCCCCATTGAGACTCTGGAAACTGTCACACCTACGAGGCGGGGCCAGGGGAGGCGCCTGGAGAGCTGGATGGGCCAGTGCTCTCTCTGTGCGCTCTCTGAACATTGGAGGTGGACTGAGCAGAGCTCCAGAGAACACCACTGGACTGTGATACACCTTTCCCAGACCCTGCGACCTACCTTTCACTTAATTTGTGAGTTATGCCATTAAATAAATATCCTTTTAACTACGTGGAGTGGCCAAAATAATTTTACCAATATTAATTATCTGTCAAAGATCACCAATAAGAAAGTAGACATGGAACTGTTTCTTCCAGGAACCGGAATTCCTCTAGAGTTAATGTTTTTATTTTTTTTAAAAATTCATTTATTTATTATGTATACAGTGTTCTGCGTACATGTGTCCCTGCAGGCCAGAAGAGGGCACCAGATCTCATTACAGATGGTTATGAGCCACCATGTGGTTGCTGGGAATTGAACTCAGGACCTCTGGAAGAGCAACCAGTGCTCTTAACCACTGAGCCATCTCTCCATCCCTAGAACTAACATTCTTAATCTTACACTATAACCCACATAATGCAATTCACGTATATAACATAGAGACTCAGTAAACATTTGGTACTATTTTCCTCCCTCCCTCCCAGGCTTTCTCCTTTTCTACCTTTTTTGTTTTAATGGGATTTATTTTAACTTGCTACATGCTATATTCAGAAATATGATACCAGAATGTAAAATATCTACAGTGTGCCTTTTATTAATATAATTTTTTTTGTTCAAAAACTGAGTGCTAATTCTTACTCTTAAAATAATTTCGGCTTAGCCGGGCGGTGGTGGCACACACCTTTAATCCCAGCACTTGGGAGGCAGAGCCAGGCAGATCTCTGTGAGTTTGAGGCCAGCCTGGGCTACCAAGTGAGTTCCAGGAAAAAGCACAAAGCTACACAGAGAAACCCTGTCTCGAAAAAACAAAACAAAATAATAATAATTTAGGCTCATGAAGGGGCTGAACAAAGGATACAGTTACCAGGCTAGCCCTCTGGGGAAAGTGCTTCTCTGTCTTCTTTCCCGGGACGGAGGGGAACTTCTTTTTTCTTTCGTTTATTTAACAAAAAGTGCCATGGTGACCATGTGCTAGTGTTCTAGGAACTAGAAATACAACTATGAAATGAATCAAGTCTCAACCTCCAGGAGACTAGGAATTCAGACAATGGGGCACTGAAACCCGTTCACAACCCTTTGTGAAGGTCAGTTTTACATCATTGCTCCCAGCTCTCTCATGTTACAGGCTGGATAACACAGGAATATTTACAACAACAACACTTCTCCTCCAGCAAACTTGAAATGTGTGTGTGTTGGGGTGGGGTGGGGGGCTTTCTCTTTATGCTTCCTTAAAAAAAGAATGGCTAGTAATATTTATCAGCATGTCAGTGACTCAAATGAGCCCTTAGAGGAAAAAACAGAGGTTTGAAAAAAGAGTATAATTACGTAAACATTTAAAAAAAAGAGGTAAAAAGAAAAATTATGTAACTACACCAGGATAATAGAAAAAGCAGGTAATATAAATTTTAAAA